ATCCCGTCTTCCCAAACAAATCCCATCCTCCCCGTGGGAATAGGTGGGTGCTGTGCACTGTGCTGATGGGAAGCAGAACAGGTCAGAGCAGCTGCAGGTCACAGGGTGAGTGGTTGTGACCACCCTGTATGAAATCCTGGAGCTCCTGGGCAGGCTCTGCATTCCCACCAGGCATCGTGGATGTGGGGAAGGAGCCTGGCAGGAAAAGAAAGGCCAGGAGTTCTCAAGGCAGTGGAGGAAAAGAGAAAAAAAATTGACAATTAAGACCTGACTCCTGACACAAGCTCCCTGGGTGACCCTGAGCAGCAGCTAAAATCTCTGATCCTCCTTTTTACACTTGTAAAAAAAACCCAGGAAAAGTAAACATCACCTGGCTTGTGCTGGGTTCGGACTGGAGGGGTGATGGGCAGGAACAGAGATACATCAGGGGCTTGGTGGGATAAAAGGTGCTGGAGAAGGAAGCAGAGTGGCCGTGGAGGGCAGCAGAGAACTCTGAGGGGTTTGTTTTCTTGCAGAGGCCGACGGTGCCTCTTGATTTATATTTGGGGTAAAACTGTCCCGCGTGGTTTGGTGTGAGTTTGTTTATCCACCTCTGTTGTTTTCTTTTCCAGCTTCTGCTCAGTTAACACCAGATTTATTATCTCCAGGGAGTTCAAATGCATCTTCTCCTTTACATTGTTTTGGGCCCTCTTTCCAATCCACCACTTCCTTTGTCATTAGCGATATCACGGAGGAGGAGGCAGAGCTGGAAAGCCCCGAGCTCCCGTCGGTCTCCCTGCTCTGCTCTGCAGCCTCTGAGAGCTGCAAGCCAGACCCAAAGGATCCTGAGGAGGAAGACTCCGTGTCCCTTTCCAAGGCCAGCAGTTTTGCAGACATGATGGGAATTCTTAAAGACATTCACAGGATGAAGCAGAGCAAAGACTTGTAAGTGCCTCCTGAGCTCCCTTTGATTTTATCTCCTTTTGGTTTTGGTGTTAAATCGTTGTTTTCTGGACACTGGACGTTGCACTTGCTGCTGGTGCTGCTTCTTTATTTGTGATTTGAAGGGAAAAATGCCTGTTTAGAGCAGAACTTGATAACACATTCCTGGTTTTTTGTTTTAACTCTGGCTTACCCACCCCGAGAGGAAACAGTGGAGGGGGATTTAAACTGATTAGCCCAATGTTTGGCTGTTGCAGCTTTTTCACCTGGCAAAAAGCTGTGTTTGCCCAGATGCCAACCAGGACTGTGTGTGTTGGCAGCTTTCAGAGTGAGGAAGGGTCACACCACCAGTGTTCCAGGGGCTGGTGCCAGCCCACCTGACATTCCCAGGCAGTTGGGAGGCTCAGCAGCCTTTCCAGCGTGGCACAGCCAGGAATTAACACGTGGAGCTTCTCAGCTCCTCTGACTGTGCATCTGGCCCAGCCCTGAGCGTGGGCAGGGTGAGTTTGCACTTGTCTCATGACGAGTTGACACATTGATCATGAGAACTCCTGAAGCTGCTCCATGGCTGGGACAAGATTCTGCCCAGCTGAGCAAGTTCCTTCTTCGGGGCTGGCTGAAATCACAGTGAAGAAGTTCAGTCTACACATTTTTCAGCCCAGCCATCATGTTGTGTGAGATTCCTGGCCAAAAATAACACCTGTTTGTGTGATGGCTCTTCACAATTTCTCTGCCTGATTGGGCTTAAAAGGAATTAAATCCTCAGCACTGAGAAAATTGTGTAGTCACATGAGAGGAACATGTTCAGCTTCCACCCAGAGCATCGTGGGGGGGTTACACCTCCATCACTCACCCCTTTCCTCTTGTTTTCCTGAGTGTTGAATATGACTCAGAGCTTAAACATTTGATTGATTTATATAAATGCCTGTCATGTGTCTTGGGGGTGAGGATTCATGGGCCACAGGTGAACTGCTCCTCTTCTTTCTTCCTGTCTGTTGCACAATTATTGATTTATGAGGCAAATGGAGAGAGGATTAAGAGAAATCTTGTATTCTGTGTGTCTCAGTCTGTTGCACAGCAGAATTATTGAATTTTTAGGCAAATGGAGGGAAAACTGAGAAAAATCCTGGGGTTTGTGGGGCTTGGCCACATTGACTCAACAGGGATTTGGGTTTGGCTTTTGGGAACTGTAACTGCCCCATTCTCATGGTCACTCTGGTGTTGCAGGTACTTCATGCTGTGCCAAGGAGTGTTTTACCTGTACCAAAACCTGCACATTCACCTATAACAATGCAATTATCACTCTTCTAATCAGTTCAGGCTGCTGTGTCAGCCTCAGGCTCTCAGGGCAGGGAAACTGCTGCTGTCTGTGCCAGGGGAATTGGGGGAAATGTGCATTCTTCAGGGGGGGAAAAAACTCATACAAATCCAGATTATGGCAGGGAAATCCAAGGCACTTCTCATCCATGCCTGGATGTGCCAACAAGGCTCCTGCAGAGTCCAAGATTCACGAGGGGCTGGGGGGGAGGATGTGACAAACAGTGTGTGGGTGACAGGGAATGCTGTGACATAAAGGGCCACAATTTGAATTTCCACCATGGAACGTGTGAGAGAAGTCCTGAGGGATGAAGGTGTTTGATCCTGCTGTTCCCTGGGAGGGCAACAGGATGGTTTGTGCTCAAGGAAAGGCTTTAATTGTGTTTAAAGTCACAGGAGATGGGGTGAGATGCCAGATCCCTCCTCGACAAGGTGGGCAGAAGGATGGGGTCAGCAGGACCCTTCTCCCTTGATCCTTGACTGATTATCCAGGGAATGCTGTGACAGAAAGGCTGCTTCCTGCTGGAGCTGAACCGTTTTCCCCTCATCCCTTTCTCTGTCTCAGCCTCTGACTCTCCTGAATCCAGCAGTGACATTTTGGGGTTATTACAGCTTAATTGAAGCTGTCTGAAGAGTGGCATGGAATTGGAAAAATTCAGTTAGTCACTGGTGTTCATGACTTGGTGAGATTTAATTCCTCACACACCCCTCAGTGCAGTTGTGGAGCAGCTCCCCCAGCTCTGCTGGGCAGCTCTGGGAACCCTGAGCAGGGTCAGGTGCTCTTTTAAGTGGATGAAAGTACCAGAAGATGCTTAAAGAGATAATTACATTGATGCCTCTCTGCTGCTCCTGTGTAGGACTTGGTGCTTAAACTCAGCCTTGGTGTTTAAACACAGCTTTGGAAGCTTCAGGAATAAGGGAGAAACCTGCAGAAATGTGCCTGTTTCAGCAAATCTGAATTACAGCCTGTTCCAGTGTCTGTGGTGGAAATGCTCCAGGGGGATTTTTTTTTTTTTTTCTTTTAGGAATGTTTAAAACACCCATAATGTTTTCTGAGCAAGGGAGGGCTTCAGCTATGAAAAAAAAATAAAAGCTCTGAAATTATCATTACAGGTTGTGAACAAAACTGCAGTGAGCAATTCATGACACCTGAGGGAAAAGAGCTGGGGTTTGGCTTCCTGTAAAAATAATCTGCTTCTAAAAGGAGCTGCTTGTGTGAACTTGTTGAGGGAGGAAAACTGCTCTTAGAATGCTGCAGAAAAACTCATGTAGTGGAAGGAAATGTGTACCAGCCCTGCTTTAAAATGTCTGTAATCACCCATGTTTAAATAGGAAATAATATACCCCTTGTGTGGCAGAATTAATGAAAAAATGCATATAGTCCCAGGAGTTCACCTCAGACACCTCACTGCTTGCTGATTTGTGTTGAGGGGCTGTAGGCTGTAAATAATTGATCAAGTTTTGGGTTACTTACTTGTTATTAGCACAACTGAGTAAAAATTATCCAGAGCTTTGATGGTGAGATTTTTCAGGATCCCCCTTGAGCCACGACACAGGCTCCAGGTTTTCTGAGCCAACATGAAAGGGCTGAATTTCAGCTGCTTTTTGTCGTTCTGTGATGTTGTTCTTGCACCTCCTTCACTTGTGACAACAGCTGATGGCAAAGGCTGCAGAAAAAAAAAACACTTGGAAGATCTACCCAGAGCTGTTAATCATTAATTTGGGCACTTGCCTGTGCTAATGCACAGTGATTTTTGTCTCCCCTGTAGAAACCGACCTTCCATGAAGGAGGAAGACCCGGCTGTTCTTATTGCAGAAGTTCTGAGAAGGAAATTTGCCCTGAAGGATGAAGATCTGGCCCTGAAGGAGAAATGATGTCGCTGTCATTCAACTCTTGTAAGCAAAAGTGTTATGCTCCCAGAATTTTTCTCCACAGTAGCTGCCTTCCTAAGGATTGAGCCTTTTGCCTCTTTTATTAATTAGACCTGGTTTCTGCACTGGACACTTAGGAAAGACCCTATGGATTTGATGTGTTTTCCATGTGTTGTTATATTTAAGAAAAAAACAAACAAACAAATCTTTTTAAGAAGATGGAAATTCTTTTCCACCTGTGTTTTGATGTTGACTATTGATAAGGATCTTCTGGAGTGCTGCTGGATGACGTTCTTTCTTACCTACACTTTTCCTTAGGTTCCAAATTAAGCATTAACCTCCAACGGCCTCGTTACGATAGAACCAGTTTCCATTTCCAGTACAAAGCAGGACAAAGCCCTCCAGTTCTTTGTTCTGAGTGTGGTACAGAGCTGCTGAGAATAAGCTCATTAATGCTTCCAGGTCTTGGATCAGAGTGGTAAAAGACGTTTTCCCAGTGACAGGAGGGAACGAACCCCTCGGTGGGGCGGGAGTGGATTTAGTGTGCCCTGGGTGTTTAACTCACAGATTAGCCCACAGTTGCATGACAGAATGGCCTTAATTTCTTGCCAGTAACTTAATGTTTCATTACTAGTCCTTGTATTCCAAACCTGTATTTTATTTAGCGTTCAAAAGGTCTATTTATTGATGCACCAATGCAAAGGGCCGGGCACCCCCCCGAGAGCAGGGGAGGGGTTTGGCCTTGGCTGTGGCTGCAGCTCTCACCCACTGAAGAGTTTTTCCTTCAGCCCCACCTTCGCTGCAATGTTCCTCATGGCTGTATTTAAAGTATGATTTTTTTCCTTTATATAAAATGGAGCCTTAATAAGATGATGGTTGTCCTCGAGATGATTTAACGCACTCGTGGTTGGGGGGGTGGAATTTCGGCTGCTGCAGCTGAGCAGACTCACAGGTGGCAAGGATTTTATTCTTAATCCACCTTAATTTTCTTAACCAAGGGCCCTTGGCCCTTAAAAAAATTAAATCATCATCCCCACCTTAAAAAATGAGAGGAGGCTTTTATGGCAGAGAACAGGAAGAGCATTGAAGGCTTAATGAGTTTTATAGGGAGTTGATACAGCTCCTCCCCTCCTGGATGCACCCTGAGAGCCCCTGAACACTGGGATCCTTCTCCCTCTCCCCATAAGGCTCCTCTGCCCAAGGATTTGGTGGGGATACACCTGCCTGTGGAGAAGATGGAGCTGTCACCAGGAGTCCCATTTCCTGGGAATGTGCTCCATGTGCAGGCTGGACAGGAACAGGGGGCAGTACTATGGGCTCTGATCTTGAGGGAAGCAGTCAAACCCCTTATAAATAAACTCCTTCAACATTTTATTTGTATTAAAGCAAAATAAAAACCAGAGAGGTGCTGCCTGTGGCTGCTGGTTATACCCTGCACACAGACACAGCAGGTTCACTTCCCAAATTCTGACAACTTTCTTCCAACTCCTCCCTCCCACTTTCCTGCTGCACAAGAGGCCACACAGGACACTGAGGTCACTCACCAGTGTTTAATCACCCTGTTCCCTTCAGAATCCTGTGTGAACAGTAACTCAGGGCACAGCTCCAGCTGCTGCCCCCGGGGCTGGCTGGAGGCAGCACAGCTGGAACTGTCCCCATGGGAAATGCCCCTGTCCCTGCAGTGAGCAATGACCCTGTTCCCCTCCGAGTCCTGGCAGAAGAGCTCCCTGCAGGGGCTGTCCCAGCCCACCCTGGCCCCTGCTGTGTTCTGGCCACGCTCTCTCAGGGGCTGAGCTCTCGCTGGGCTCTGTGGGGATGAACAAACCCCCCCAGGAGCCCAGGGCCTGGCTCCTGGCACAGGATTTATATTCTCAGTCTCAGCAAAATCAGTTAAAGAATTAACACTACTCCACTGCTGGGGTTTCTTACTCTGCTTTGCACCAAGCCCTGGTTGGAAATCGAGTCCAGCCTTCACCTCCTGGCCCTCCTGTTTGGTTACCCCCCAGTCTGATGTGACACTGCTGCTTCCTGAAACCGTTTCTCCAGCAAATAACTGGGATTTGTTCCTGTGAGTGATGATCCGGGGGCCCTCCGAGTCCTGGGTGAAGCTGAAGCACCAGGAGTCCCCTCCTGCCCCACAGGAGGCTTTGCCCTGGCTCTGTGACTCCACTTGTAGCTCCGAGGAGTCTGGCAAAGGTGCTTTCCCTGCCCAGCCCTGGGATGTGACCTGCACCCCCTCCTCGGATCCAAAGGGTTGATCCTGGGCTGTTTTCATCTGTGGCAAGGCCAAGATCTTCACAGGGCAGGCAGCCAGAGGGACACCTGTGTCTTCACTGTCCTTATTTGGGGTGAAAGGAGACGGCCTGGTGTTTTCTTTGTCTTTTTCACCTGAAAGCAACACAAAATCGGTTAAAGCCAGAGCTGGCAGACACATTCCTCAGGATTAGTCACTACCCACATTCCTCGACTCAGACCTGCCACTCTCTCCCGTGGCTTTGCTCTCTCCTTTGTGTATCCCTAAGGATTGTCCCAGTGCTGCCACCACCTCACAACAATCTATTTGTGCTGCAGAGGCTGAGCTGGAACAGCACCCAAAGCTCTGGAGGGGGGTTCACAACAATCAGAGTCCCTCGAGTGAGGTCAAGAGCTGCATCTTCAGCTGCTCCAGCCTTTGGCTCCTCCCTCAGCTTTCCAGGCAGGTCACCTCTAACATTCCCTTTAAAAGCAGCAGCTCAATAGTCACTTAAAATAAAAAACCACAAAACTGCCCAGTGAAACTCTGTCTGTGCCTGTGTGGTCCCATGGAGGCATCGAGGCCCCCACATTTGCTTCTGAAACCATTGAACATAAAACCCAATACCAGTTCTCAGCATAAACCAGCTCCCCCTAAGTTCAGGATAAGCTAAAAGAATAAAACCTTCCAGCATCCTAAATCCTCCAGGACTCTGGATGAACATTCAGACACGCCCAGGGAGTAGGTGAATGCAATCAATGGGGGGAATCAAATGGGAAGAAAGAGGAAAGCACAAACCATGTTCAGGAGGAGCAGGAATGACGACTCCAAAGCAAAAACCATCAATACCCCTGTCACAACACAGAAATTCTGCCAACCTGTGCAATTTCTGTAATGCCTCCTCTCATCTGCTTATTTCTAAACCAGTTTAATGCTGATGAACCAACTCTTACATAACTCACAACACACAAACAGCTCCAGAGCCCTGCTCTGCTGCTTTCTGCATCTGTTTCATTTCTCTCCATAGCTGTTAACTTGAGACCCCTGGAAAATCCCTGTTTTTTCACAACACACAAAAAAAACAGCCTCAGAAGCACAGAGGTTGTGAGCTGGCTTAATTAGCTTAAATATTCCAGTTCCCCTGTGATGGGGGAACTGGCTCCATTAGGATTAATCACAGCATTCCTTAGAAAAGGCTTTGTCCAGCCCTTCATTAACAGCTATTAACAGCTGCACCTGCATTTGGATTAACCCTCACAATAAAAGCCATTCTGGGAGTTCAAACTTTTACTCTCTGCCCTAGAAAATGCACTTTCCTGCCCAGCAAAGCTGCCAAGAGATACAGTGAGATGGGTTTGCTGTAACACCTGGAACTGCTTCCCCTCCTTACCTGTGTGGGAGCTGAAGAAGGTGGGGATGGTGGTTTGCTTGGTGCGAGTTTGGGGGGCTCTGCTCTGTGTGAGCCCCACCGAGGTGGGTTTCCTCTCCAGAATTCGGGGGGGTGCTTTTAGCTTGGCTGTGAGAGGCTGGGGGGGGGAAGAAACAAGGGAGAATGAATGTATGAATATATAAAAAAACAATTCCTCCTTCTTCCAGAGCTCCCATCTCCACTAAACAGCAACACAGAATCATTTGGGTTGGAAATCACAGAATTGTTGGGGTTGGAAAGGACCTCTGGAGACATCCAGCCCAAGGCAGGGTCACCTGGAGCAGGTGACACAGGAACCAGGTGGGTCTGGAATGTCTGCAGAGAGGGAGACTCCAAGCCCTCCCTGGGCAGCTGTTCCAGGCTCTGCCACCTCCATGGAAAGAAGTTCTGCCTCGTGTTGAGGTGGAACTTGTTGTGTTTTAGTTTATGGCCATTGCTCCTTGTCCTGTCGCTGGGCACCATGGAGGAGAGTCTGGCATCATCCTCTGACAGCCCTGGGAGATAT